TCACTGCATCAGCAGACTACGAGAGAGAGAGAGAGAGAGAGAGCTCGGTGACATTTGGATCCAGACTCGACACTGGGCTTCAGACATTTTGACGAGGGATTATTTGGGACTGGTAACGAAGACTTGGTGTTGACAACTTTCCCATCCCTCCCCTCCTCTTCTTCGTCTGATTCCCTCCTCTTCGTCTGTGTATATCTGGACCTGGCGCCTTCTTCCTGTGTGTAGCGCCAGGCCCCCTTCACACCTTGTGATGAGAATGATGTACGTTTAGTCTGCATTGCGACATTGATTGGGCTCGTCATTGGTATTCTAGCATTCCTGCTGCGCTGTCTTGTACTACGTGAGAGAGGTCAGTCCCGGTCACGTCAGGACTTGTATCAAGTCTTCCCCTGCGCTATAAAGCAACATGATTTTTGTATGTATCAGAATGTACACTGCTTGTTGAGATTCTACTTGCACGGCATTGTCCAATCAGTCTTTTTCATCACATTGCGGATCCTCGGTTATATATGTACATAGCCCAACTAGGCATGTAACAAAGGCCACTATGGCTGCCGTGATTGATACAAAATTAAACGTCCTGCGGCTGATGAGCGAGCCTACGGCCGCTGCGCTGGCGTATGCTCATCAGCGGTTAAGAGGGAGTGGGAGCGTGGAGAAGAAGGTCATGGTGTTCGACATGGGTGAAGGAACCTTTGATGTGTCTATAGTGAGACCACGAAGGCGGGACAGCATGGGGAATGGAGCTTTGTAGTAAACGCAGTGGCCGGGGACTCTCACTGGTGCCCCCCGGTGGCCCCCTCGTCCCCCCGATCCCAATGCGGGTCAGGGACAGAAAGATAGTTTGGGATGGGAAGCTGGACCCGGTTTCCAGCACACTGGCCTCACCCTCATTAACATACTGTATTGAAAAGATGTTTCCATGGGACACTGGACCCGGTTTCCAGCACACTGGCCTCACCCTCATTAACATACTGTATTGAAAAGATGTTTCCATGGGACGCTGGACCCGGTTTCCAGCACACTGGCCTCACCCTCATTAACATACTGTATTGAAAAGATGTTTCCATGGGACGCTGGACCCGGTTTCCAGCAGGTGTTGCTCCCCACCAATAGATGGGGCGGCCCGCCAGGCAAAGTCTCAATCCCGGTGGTTCTCTTACCACCACCAGGATAGAGGTCTTGCACAAGGGCCTTTCGAAAAAAA